ACACACCGGCAGAGCTCTAGTCATCACTTTCTACCTGCAAATATTCGCTAACAACTCTACTCTCAACTCTTTTTTACATCTCTCTCTTCTCTCTTACCTCATCACACCTTTTGCACATTTGGTTTTCACCACAATTTGTTGTTTTGCTGTTTCCCATTGTTATTATTATTATTACACTTATTGCTTCCCTTAAATACAAATACAAGTACAAATATACATACAATATTTATTTGTTTTTGTTTTGTTGTTGTTTGCTGTCCACAATGTTGCGTGTTTGTGTCAGCTGTGTTTGTTGCATTGTTGGCAACTGTTCAAATTTTATAAATACTTTTGAGTTTCATTTTGTTGCTATTGTTCCATATCATGTTGTAGTTATTATTGTTTTACCTGTAATCGTAGAGAGGCACATAAATGCATGTACATATGTAGACGTTGTACTCATTTGTTGTTCGTATAGAGTATATGTACATGGGAATGTGTGTGTGTATGTGCTATCAAATTAAAACTTTCTTATTTGCTTACTCATACAAAACATATTTACCTACATATATGTGTGTCGGTTGGTGCCTGCAGTAAGTCCACACATGCATAGCAAGAAAATTATTTAAATTCCATCGCTTTAACGCAAATAAAATTAGCGGCATATAAATTGTTTGTTTGTTTGTGTTCATAAAAAGTTCACTTTTGCTGGATTAAATATTTATTTTTATCTCAAGAAATTTTTTTCTCGCCTGATATAAAAAATTCCGAAATATTTTTTAATATGGTCATTGAAAATTTTGATTTTGTTATAGAAGAGTCACACTATTATGGGTATTTTATTCACCCGGGTGGGCGAATCTTTTGACTTCGAATTTACAAAAGGATTTTCAAAGTGTCTAGGTTTCTTTTCAGGAACGCTTGGAAGGTATTGATGAGCGGTAGAGAGTTGGACTAAACTTCTCTCAAATAAACTGAGGTTGAGGCTGATGGGATACGTAAAAAAATGGGGTGAAGTCCGCGTTTGGGTATACAGTTGCCACAATTGTACCACACACATCCCTTGTGCAGGGTGCGTTAACTAAATCATGCGAAACTTTGAGTTAATCCTTAGAGAGAAGGAGCTACAGTCGAGCCACTCCGATGTATACGATTTATGGCTTACTAGACTCATTCATCAGAGTGTTTTCACCAGAAGTGTGACTGAGAGCGAGCTTTGGTTTTGAAGCTTTGAAGAAAGCGGCTTGCTATGTAAATAAACCAAAAATGTAGACCTAATCACGCAGCGAGATTGTGTGATGTGTTCTGTATCCACCGCGTTTGAACCAGCTACAAGGAAAATAAATAAAACTCTCGCACTGGACCTATCATTGATGTTGGCTTTGACTTGAAGATATGAACCGAGTTTATTCGATCATGCTTTTAAAGTCTTCGTGAGACTTAAGGTTGACCTCAATGATAATAATTTGTGGAGGAAGAGAGATACTCAGTCGCTAAGCTATGATATTTCCCACGACGGAAGAGAGGAATGATATAGCCATGGTTGCTTTTATGAACTCTTTACCTTACCTAATACTGAGTCCAATACCTTTAAAGGCAGATTCACTACAAATGTTGTTCTATGACCTTTCTTAAAGACTTTAATTATATATTCGACATGTCGTAAATATTTATGTATATATGTATTAACTCTAGCTACTCGGATTAAATTTTGATTGGCAAGGAAAATGGGTTTTCTTCTACGCCCTCTCGCCCTCGTTCCGTCCCTATCACTCAGCTCGGCGCAATATAATATTATTTAACGCCTCAATAACTTTCCAATTCATGCCTACTGATTGACGGAGTGATTGAACGGGCCCAATTGTGCGGCAATATTACTGTTATTGCGCTTCGACACTGATATGCTGGCACAGCTGTTGGCAACACGCTGCTGGTTATAAGCGTAAGCAAATTCAACTAAAACTTACACACGTGTATACATATGTAAGTGTACAGTGTACAATGTATAGCAATCTGACGCTGTTGTTGTTGTTATTCGCTGCTGCTACTTGTGGCAACACTAAGCGGAGATATCTTCAACTGCAGCCGTGTAGTTTTGCGGCCTGTGGCTGCCTACCATCTAACCGAGTCTCACGCGTCTTGGCGGCGGTGCCGACAGTTGGGGATTTCCCACAACTATTTGGTGTGTGTGTGTGTGTGTGTGTACGAGTATGTAAGTGCAGCAGTTAGAAGACAGATATTTAGACATATATTTTCGTGCACGTGTCACCGAGTTGAGTGCTTCTTATGGCTTTGGGGCGTCGACTTCTTTACATGAACTAGAGGCGGCGTTTGTTATGTGTGTTGTTTGCTGTTCTGTTTATGCATGTGTGTATGTGTGTGTATGTGTGTATGCATGTTGCTAAGTAGCATTTGTGCAAATAAGCCAATAATTGCAACGAGCTTACGGCGAGTTCTGTCTGCCCGAATTGGCATTTAATTTGATTAATGGCCAACTATTTGTAATCGTTCAGAGATTTGCATTTGATTTTACCACATCAATTTATAATCGAACTTGTCTCTCGCAGGAATAGTAACAATTACTTTTTAATTTGGCAAATTACTTAGACATTAAGCGACAAGAAAGCTGAAATTATGGCAATATTGTCTCACAGAGCTCCAATTGATATTTCCTCTATTCATCGCCGGTTAGCATATTTTTTAAGTTTTCCCGACTACATCTCATTACACCCTTAAAGTCGAATGACGAAATGAATCGATTTTACCATGCCTGGTCGCCTCTTCGTCCCTGCGCCGGTACTTTCATGCACAGAATATTTAAAACTATTTTGATGAAACTGACCTCTGTCCTACATAACGAACTTTTTGCTTTCTACCAACGCGATATGAAATGAAAAGCCTCTCATAAAAATCCATCTGACCTTTGAAGATGGCTTGGAATAAACTGTAGGTTCCTCCATTTGTTGGAAAAATAACAAGAAGTAAAGCCACAAATTGAAGAAAGAGTTCGGCCGAATATCGCTTCAGCGTTTACAAAGTGGCAATTATATACATAAGGTCAATTAAAAAATAGCTCACTTAGCTCCAGAAGTATATCAACCGAATATCAAATACACCTTTTTGTCTTACCTTGGTCTTCTTCACTTGTTCGTGCTGAAGTGTTATGAATCTCTCCAGAGACCACAAGCATGAATTTTTCTAAGGGATTAAGTAAACTAATGTACTCTCAGCTAGGTCATACTAGAGGAAGCCCGTTTCGGATCGAAGAAGTTCATTTAAAAAGACATTGATTGAAATGATACGGGATTTTATTTCATTCATATTAAAGTGGCAACTCTAGTACTTGGCAATAGCTTCAGGTGTTTTCTACTTCATAACGCATCTTTAATTTCAGCATGGATTGCCACTACATCTTTCCACTAGGTTTTTCTAGCGAAATCTTGATCTTTAATGCTGCAGAACTCGACGTGCCCTCTCCAAAAATTCAGATGGCCAACTCATCAGATGTGAACAGAAAAGCCAAAGGTTTTATGATCTACAAACTATAGTCTGTGGAATCATGTGCGGACTTATTTAAAAAAAAGAAAAATTTTCTAAAAAAACATTGATTTCTGACTAAAAAATAAGCACTAAATTATTAAAAAAAAAAAGAATTACATTTAATCAAAAAATTTTTACGTACTTCCAAAAAAATGTATGTGTGAAGTTACCATCAAAATTTCAGATAAATCTATGCAATATATATATATATATCTATATATTATATATAATATAATTGGCGCTTTGTAACCGCTGAAGCGAATTTTCGGTCGAGCTTCTACTCCAGTTTGTGATCATTCGTCTTTATGTTTTTTCGAACAAATAGACGGACCTACAGTTTATGCTAATCCACATCCGAACGGCTAATGGATTTCTTACGAGGAGCCTTTATTTCATGTCCGAAATTCACTCGGAGTGCTTGACATTCCCTGCCGAAGGGCGACCGCATTTGAAAAATTTAACTTAATTTTTTATTTAAATTAATTTTCCATAACTTTTGGATATTGGTGGCGCCGGGATTTGAACCCGAGCTTTTCGAATGGCAGTACGCAATGCTAACCACTCGGCTACTGCGGCCGCCAAATATATGAAATGTGGTTCGAATAATCTGTCTTTGCAGTTTGGTTTTGAGAAAAACGCGCTTAAAGTTTACATTCAACTCTGGGCAAACTTTGATGGGCTGCAGCAAAGTAAAAAGATCAGCTACTTATTTGAAATATTTTTTTCCACTTCTAAGCCAATTGCATATACTTTCTGGGCGAAACGGTGCACTGTGAACAAAAGAATAATGCGTTTTCCAAATTCCTAGAGTGGCTTTATCCTTTGTGACAGGAAATAAATAATTTTCCTTGTCTTACTTCACTACCCGAAAAACTCCCAAAGCCTTCTTATCAGAACTAAAGCCATAATAGCGGAGGCGAACGCATTTCCTGTCGATTTTTGGCCGTGTTTCGAATTCATGACCCTTGAGCGATGCGCACATACTACTAATTGGTTACTGCTTCAGTGCTGAGAGTGAAATAATGAGAGTTGAAATGATACTCTCACTGATAAACTCAGAAAAGAGTGCTGACCAGGACATACATTTGCAACTCTCGAAGCCGCAACCAATTCCCAAATGACTCTTCCATTGTCCACCGTTATTATGCCAACTGCATTTTCTGAATTTGCCAACTCACGAGGAAAAAAATCCATTTATTCTACTGAAGTCCATCTATTTTATTCACTTACAAATCAATTTCCAAATAAAAGAAATATTCTTCTAAATCTGCAACAACAATGTACGAAAGTCATTTACAAAAAGCTTACACATTCTTCAAGCAAAAACAAAAAAAAAAAAACAATAAAAAAATAAAAAATAAAACTGAATAGAAATGAGAAATTATTCCGTTCAAACTGTTTATTGATAGCAACACTTCTACGCCCATTAGTATCAAACACTCTCTTCATCCTCTCTCCTACTTCTTTTTCTTCTTTTGCAGATAAACAACACCTTCGCCTGGCCTGCGAGTGAAGGAGCACTTGAGAAGAATAGTGAATTGAGTGATAGTGTTGGATCTCTGTGCCGAAGTGCCACTCAAAAGGACCACAAAAATAACAGAAGCAGCAGAACTGGAGAGCCGCCGTGTGTGAAGACAAGAAAAGGAGGGGACTCAATTGGAAAAGGAAGAAGAACAAGCATGAAAAACTCACACATGCCGGGACATATGAACTTATAGTAATAAATCATTGCGAGTAACCCGCAAAAAAAAAACAAAATACAACAACTAAAACGTCGAACGAATTTGAATATGAATGACATTCCAATGCAATTCAGAGCAGAAGAAGAAGAAGAAGAAGGCGTAGGAGAAGAGCAAGAGCAGAAGCAGTAATATAACTGTCACAACACAAACTAAATGCCACAAAGGAAAACAAAAACAATACAAACAACGGTTCAATCGATGTCACCGAACAATTGAAAAATGCTCCCGCAGAGACAGATAAGAGGCGAGAAGAGCAAGAAGGAAACAAGTAATACAACCGCAAACCGAATATTAAACACCAGTCTAACGGTTAAGGGAGAAGAAAAAGCAGTTTAATTGAAAAGGAAGAACAAGAAATATTGCTAATAACAAAACTATCGCTTCTAGTAGAGCAAAAACAACAAAACCAACAAAATAGTCAAACTGCGAGGTGGGGGCGAGCATGTTTAGTCAACTGAAGAAACTCAGGGAAGCTTTATAGTGTCGAATACAAGTGTGAAGAAAGCATAAGACCAACATAATGGAGGAAGATAATGCGCAAGAGCGTAAGAAAGGGAAGGTGAAGGAGGATGTGCTAACAATTGGAGGCACTCAAGTAGAAAAGTCTAGGCAGCCAGTTGTGTTAAGTGAAAAATCCTATCCCGAAGCCAGTTTCGCTAGTGAAGGTGCCCCTCAGAGGAAGCTCGAGGCGTCAGCAGGCGGAATAGCGAAAGAACTGATGCACGTAAATGTGGAGGCAGCAGAAGAGCCCACCGAAATGGGTACTGATGTCGACGAGATTCCCACACCACGTGCTTTAGCAAAGGTTGATAAAGCGGTTAGCACAAATGACACACTCGAAGATCTGCAGCGAGCACTCACTTATGAAGTAATCTTCACAACGTTGCTGGAGAAAAAAGTGTTGGCCATCAAGCGAGAGTGTGAGGAACGTAAGCGCGCCAAACGCATGAAACGAAAGTCAATTGGACGCATATTTTTCAGTAGAAAGCTCTTTGGCGGTTCGCGTAAGATCCGCGGCGATAGCGAGCCGGACGTTTTCATGCGTGGTGACCTTGGCTCGGTAATAGCATCCCCAAAGACATTTCGTCAGCCAAAGGTCTCGAAAAAGACATATGTTGGTGGCACCGGTCTGTCAGACGGCGATGAAATAGAAGTCTTCTCAACATCGGCTTCAGCATCGAACGGTAGTCATCGTTCACAGTTGGCACGCGCTACTCTCACATCGTCGCAGAGAGTCAAAACCCAATTGACATCATCAACAGCAGGGCAAGTCGCAGACGACAGCGTCGCTAGTACGCTGAGTAACTCAACCGACAAGAATGATGTAAGCGGCACTGGTGGTGGAGGTGGTGCACAGTCTGTCACGCGACGCAGCTTATTAGTACGTGCTCAGACCCACACACCAGCTGAAGTGATGACATCGAGCTCAGGCTCAGGTGACTCGCGTCCCGCTGTCCATAGACGCTCTATGTCTGTGACTAATGGTAACGGCAATAGCAATGGTGCTCCTGGCGGTATGCCCATCTCACTTTTGGAGCGTACCTATGACACCACCTCGCTGGCGAGCGGTTATGAAAATGGCACTGGTGCTCGCCTGCACACCTCGACAATGGCAGAAGATAGCCTCACTTCGTTGCGCGATAGCATAGAGAGTTTATCCTTTGCAAGTTCGCGTTGTACCGTCAGTTTTGGTGGTGCCGAGGTCATACCGGATGAGACTGCCTCACTTATTTACGAGCGCGCACGTCTAGCGAAACGTCTGCGCATACTCGAGGCCAAGTCGATAAGCGCACAATGCAGCCCCATACTGCCGCGGCATTTGATCGCCTCAATACCAGCACCGGAGCCTATGCCGCCCTTGGGCCAGACAACCATTGTCAGCATCGACAATGCCATGCAAGTCTCCACAACTACGAAACATACAATTACACCCACCACTGCCGTTCCTTATACCGCCTCGTCGAGAGCTGCCACCTACTCCACTGTCGTCGGCGGCGATATCTCAACGATCCCCACCAGTAATAAGATCACACAAACAAAACAGCACATCTTTCGTCATCAAGTGTCTTATACGGACAGTACTTACGGCGGTGTGGGTGACTTTGGCGACATGTCTGCCTATTCGCGGTACATCTCGCGCCAGAATACTTCCGAGGAGAGCGCAAATTTGACTGTCAGCACATTGTTGAACCAAAGCGACTCGCTGTCGCTGCATGCACCTATCTGCTCGCCAACCACCTCGAGTGCTGGTGGAGCCGGAGGCGTTGGTGCCTTCATGCTGGGCGATCGTTTCAAATCGAAAAGCACAAGTCTGTTGGTTGTAGGCGGTCCTGCTCGCAGTCGTTTAATGCCAGCGCCGCAAATACACAAAGCGCCTATTTTGCCCATACCGGGGAAAACTGGTGAAGATCCAGTAAATGGGATTCTGTTGAGTAATATTAGCCGTAGTGATCAATTAGTAGATAGTTTAAATAGAAATACATTTACTACCGTTGGCATCGCACCGCCAGCAGCGCCATCTAACGCACAAAAATCGCTACCCTCGCACCCCAATACTATCGCTACGACTGATGCGACCCTAGTGTCTCCGCTTCCTACCGCACTTTACCAGGCGGACCCGGCGGAAGCAACTACGGCTGTTATAGCGCTCAACGGCACAGGATTTCGAGGTGGCGGCGTCAACGGGGTCATTGTAACCGGCGCTGCAGTACCTGCAGATACGGCCAAGTTGAATCGCATGACTTCTACATCGACTGGTTCCAGTGTGGCGCCGACCGGTTGTTGCACCACAACGAAGTCTTCCTCGCGTGATCGTGAGAAGGACAAACAACGCTTCAAGCCCAGCTGGCCACCGGGGCAGAGTGGCAGTGATGATGAGTACCGACGGCGCAAACGAAAATACAGTAAGAGCTACGGAAAAAAAGAGAATGAGAACATGAACACAACAAATTAATTTTTCCTTCTCTTGCAGAACGTTACCACAGATGTTCAGACCCCGTTTTGGTGTACCCGACACCGGGTGGCTTGCAACACTGCATTCTTAGTATGCAGCCTAATGAGCCGCTGTAAGTACTCACTTAGTCTTTATTAATATTCAATTGGACTTGAGAATTTAATAACGGTTTTAATCTATCTATTTGCTCTCTTTACGCCGGAACTACAGCCAACTTCGGTACAATGATGATTTTCCTTACGACGTACAAATCCAAATGGACGACGACAAAACTGACGACCTTGAAGAAATAGTTCCAAGCAATCATCACCGACATCGAAGACATCGGTAAGTGAGACGTGTTGAAAGAGATTAACGGTATTTGAAGTGGGAATAAATAAATTGGGGGTTAAATGAAAATAAATGATGAATGTGAAGAATAAACGAAAATAGAGTTGAAAAGCGAAAAATCAACAGACTCAGCTGCGCTTAAATGCCCAAGACAATGAGCTTAATTAATAAACTATGCAGTTAGATACAGTAAGCGGCCGATAGATTAGAGCGAGTGGTTTTTAGAGATTCAGTTTTCCGGAGCATACCTCAAATTTATATTAGAGCTGACCGATGACCACTTAACAAGCACGCTAAGGATTCCCATAAAGTATTGTGTGGAGCAGCTTATATAGACCGGTGAGAGAGAGAGAGAGAGAGAAATTCTTTGAATCCTCCCATCCCAAAATGCCGGGAAGCTCCAACCAGAACTTTCCGGAGGGGCTTCTACCCACTTTCGTTTTCTAGAACTAACAGAATCGAGATGTGGTGAAAACTGCAGAAGGTTGGATTTCTACCTCTCTTTGCTATTGGTCAGGAATTTTGCCAGCCAGGAACTTTGTCTACGAGTGGAATAATGGGCGTTCTACAGGGTGATCCTACCGAGAACGCACATCGCTTTTAAAATATAGGATGGGTTTGCTGGGACTTCGTCAGTTTTCTATGAGCTTGGTAGTTGAAACTTTCTCCCAACCTAGACTTCATTCATTACATTGACGTTAATTGGCTACAGGAGTGTTTGTCGAATAACGTCCGCACTCATTGCTGAGATGTAAACTATTCTATTATTCCTTGCGGTTAGAGTGGGCGGTGTCTGCTGGCAGGCGCCTGACTTTCCCCGATATTTGCTACTCTGCTACTTTTTGTGGGCTCTGCTTGCACATTTTTCTTCCACCAGATCAGAGCTGCTCTGATGCTCTACAACAGCGTTTCTGTTAATTCGCCCAACAACTGTAAAACTCGAAATGGATCCACTCAGAGAAGTTTCTAGCAAACAACGAACCGAAGCACATGTAATTAGGGCCGTTCGATGTCCGCCTACAGACTACAAGATAATTTCGCCGACGCTGACCTTCTGCTAACGTCGTCTTCGCCACAGAAAGCAGCAACCATAGACACACTCACACTCACACACATGCAAGTAGACGTAGGGAGATAGCTTTACCAATTAATTCAAAACAATTTGTGCAGACTCAATGCGAAACAGCGGGACGGGGAAACGAGTGACGACAGAAACGAGGAAAGCTTTGAGAATGTGTGGAATATCAAGTGAAAATTGATGATTGTGCCAAAGCGGCTGGGAATACGAGCAAAGCTGAGAACAATGGATGAGTGACTTGAATAAAAAGTGTGGCGAAGCAATTAAGAAACCGAAATATGAAAAATAACAGGGTGGAGGGAAGGGCAAATGCAGAAGGATACGAATGCATTGCAAGCAGCAAAGGCAACTTGGCGTGGAGTGGCGCAGGATATTCGCAAATCATTTTGTAGCTCGCAGCTCGCAGCTCGCAGCTTTTGAATGCTCACTCGTCACTTACCACATTGGGATGTCAATTTGAGAAGCGGCGCTGAAATTATTACTTGCGTTCTTACAATGAAAGCGAGATGCCTTTGGGCCGTGATGTGGCAATTTAGATATGCAACGCGTGCGAGCTGACGCCTACCCTCGCACCGCTTTTTAGTAACCGCTAAATGCCCTGTTAGCATGTGTGTGTGTGTGCAAATCATTTCTTACATTTTCCGATTTAAATTCCCCCAAACAAGTTTCGTCCGCCAACAACAACAACCAGAGCTGCAACAATCTGAAAAATAAGCATCTTAAATGTATCATTGTCTGCTGAGCTGAACTATGCAAACTATTCAACAGCTGACTGCCGGTGCTCAACACCGCTCACAACCTTAACACAAACACACACACATACGGAGGAGCAAAGCTGCTTTCTCGCCTGTCTACCGCGACACTCTTCCACTCTGCCTACTCCCAGCCATGTGGATTGTTAGCAGAAGCTGCTAGCCAACCAGCCAACCAACCAGCCAGTCAGGCAGTCAGCCAGTCAGTGTGTTTCAGCAAGCTTCAAGCATGCTTCGTCTGAAATTTGGGTCAAGGTGTGCCAAGAAGTTCACAAGCGTGTGTGGGGCGAGTGTATGGCACGTGAGGGCGTGTGCGAAGGAATGACAAGGGCGAACGGCGCAGTTTGCCGATGAACAGTAGTTGGCAGTAGGCAAGAGGCTCTTGTGCTCTGCCATTGTTGTAGTTGATGTTGTTGTGCACTGGCTGCTGGCTGCTGGCTGCTTAATCAAAGCCTCCGCATAAGCCTCAGCCCTCACCACTTTCACAGCAGCTTTCGGCTTCTTCTTGTTTGGCAGTGCCATAAAAATTACTGTGAATTTTTTTCCATTACTGTTGTTGTTGTTGTGTTTGTTTACTGTTTTCCGCAGGCGCATGCTGAGCAATGCAAAATAACGTGGCAGTGAATTCGTGGAAATTACGTGGAGCACCATGGGCGTGGAATGGGTGGTCCGGAGCGGGTTTTCTCAATTAAATTAAAATCAATTTGATTGAAAAGTAAAATGATATAATACAATTAATAATTATCATAATTAAAAGGGATTTTAATAACTTCATCAATTAAGGTGGAAACTTAAGATTTTCTCTTTTCTTTTGTCGATTAAATTTTTTGAAATTTCTTCGTTTTTATTAAATTGCAATTATTAGATTTAGATTTCAGGTAATCAGAATTTTGCCTTCACTATTAAATTTCACAATCCCTTAGTTTCATTTAAAAAATAATTTTCATTGAGGTCACCCTGTACTTTTGATAAAAGTGCATTTCGTGCGCTCGTGTGATTCCGAAGGGCATTGGGCATTATAAACATTGAATGCGAATTGAACTTTTCACAACACTCATGATTAATTTAATGAAGCCTCGCGCTGATATTACTGCAAAGGCGCGTATTGTGTTTTCGGTTGCGAGCTCTATTAAGCAATTATTTGCATTGTTCGCGAAAAACTCGTTTTGATGCAAAAAAGGTCGACATTAAAAAAGAGTAGTAAAATTTCTGTCGCATTTTCGCGAAAGCACGAATTATACTCAACCATCCAGCTACAAGATTGAGTCAGAATTTCAATTCTTCTGCAAAAGTCATCAGAGGACAGTGATCAGTCGGAGCACCTACCTTAGGTGAGGGCTGTGAGTCTCTCGAATTACTCATAATGAGCACTGAGGAGCGGCGAGATATAATCCAACTTTGGCAAAGCTTATGTGCGGCACACCTGTTCAGCTCTTAATAATTATGCGACTGTCAATTTATTTATTTAAAAATATTGTATTCGAAGTCTTGTTCAAGAACTGTTGAGCTTGTAGGTCAAATTATGAGCCAATGTTGAAGTCCTGCCAGTAAGCTCGCCAAGGGACTTCTTCCATTCGTCCTGACATTCACCACTGACATAAAGTTGATAAATTCTTTCCTTTATAATTAATTATCCGAGTTGAAGTGATTGACCGCATCAGACATGCATTAGCCCATACACTGAGACCGCTTTAAATGACTGCAATGCTAAAAGGGAGATATTTTTTAGAACTTTTGATATAGTCTGAATTAAGTTTTCAGTGGACTTTGAGCAAAATGATCTCATGGCACATTAAGGCAGCACAGATAAAAATAATCTTTAAGTCCAGGTATCAATGGTATTATACAGGGAAAACACCATCCGTGGGTAAGTGTTGAGGTCTATCTAAGCCTCTACAAGGCTTTATAAGTGGAGCCCTGCTTCAATGTAGCGAAATATGGAGCTGACGAGAGATCAGCATCCTTGGGCTTAAGACCCACCTTCCAAAGAACTAGGCTGCTTAAGTGGGGCGGATATTTGGTTGAACTTCCAAATATGTTGTCACTGCTGGCCTGCGTCTAGACCCCTTATACCGCTTCTCAATTCACAACTAGGCATAATGTGTATTTGCAATCTCAAGACATCTCAAACAGCTGAAACCCTCCTATATTTTCTCAATTAGAGAAGAAGCCCATTGCCAGTTAGTAGAAAACTCAGTTACAGAGATAAACCAATAAAATCCAGTCTATTTACCTCGAAAAAGACTTCCTAATGTACTTATATGCCACTCGTTTGTGTCTGTGTTGCTATGGGTTTCCAAAAACCTCCATCACACACAAGCCGACTTAATCACCCTTTTGCACAGTCCGTGAGTGATTCATACTATACAATAGAGCCAGAAGTATTTGCAGCCCAAGAATACGAAGTGTAACAATTAAGTAATGAGACTGATTCCATGAAAACCGTAGATTTAAAGACTATTCCACAACTCTGCCATCCTCTGCCATTGGGCAGCTATACAACAATACCAGCAACGACGATTTCCATGCTTCGCAACATTTCTGAAACGCCCCGATAGCGATGTCCACGAGTACCCTCGTCACGGCCGCCTGGATGTCCTCAACCGACTTATAATGGTTTCCTTTAACAACCAATTTTGTTCTTGGGAACAATAAAAAGACGCAGGGTGACATATCGGCGATTAAGGCGGTTGTTGCAACACGGCGATCCTTTAGAGGCCAAATACTGGGAAACGCTGAGGGCGGTGTGACACGTTGCGTTTTCGTGATGAAGGAACCAGTTACGAGCGATGTCTTGGCGCACGCTATCGACTCGTTTTTGCAATATTTCAAGTACTTGGTTCATATTAAGCTCTGACGCCAGCATTCGAACTGTTAAGCGTCGATCTTCATGGATTAGAGCGGGCGCACGCTGCGCATTCTTGTTAGTTCGCACCTCGACTGGCCTCCCACCCAGCGCCTCGTCTTTCACGCTTCCGCACCCCTCCTTAAACTCTTCATGCCATCGAAACACCTTCGCATTATCACCACCCAATTGATTTCGATTTTCCATTTCCGTGACGAGCAGCCCGAACCCACGTTTACTCAATACGATACAGCGGGAGAGCTAAACAAGCTTGAGCGGTGGCAAATATATCAATGGAGAGGAGAAGGATACCGAGAGAAGCGAAAGGAAATTTAAAGGTCGCAGGGTTACCAAAATCGCGGTAATATAATCAGTCTTATTACTTAATTGTCACACCTCGCAGATCCCGTTATATTGTACAAACACTCTTAATTTTTTCATTCCGACCACAAAGTATGGAGCGAAATTTATGCTCACACTCATAATCATGCTCAAGTATTTGACTTTTCTTACATACCCTCACACGACCAGCTGGTGGAGGAGTCAGGGGCAACATGCCCTAAGCAGCATTGACACCCTCTTATCCAACTTGATCTCAAAACCAACTCTTATTCCATTCTAAGTCTATTTTAGATAGATACTAAACTTAGATGATCGTCCGGATACAAATAACATTAACAATCAGACTCGAACTCCCACCGCAAAAGGTTTATGACAAAGATTCACAAAGTCGACGACAGATGGATCCCTGTAGATAGCACCGAGCAGAACGAGGCGCAGCTTCTTCCTGTCTTTAGAATTATAAATAATCATGAGCCTCATCTGTATATACTGTTAAGCCATTTGACTTAATTACGCGATACTTTGTGGAGCTTGAAAAATTTCGCTACCAATCAATTCAGCCTTTCAAATATTTATCGATTCAAACTCCTCTCCAAAGAGGGACACAGCCAGTAGAGAGTGGGAGAATAAACTGCTCATGACTTGAATGATATTGGGCGTACCAGCAGAATCTATTGTAGTTCTATTTTATAAATTATAATTATATATATTTTAAATTGAATAAATCGCATGAATAATAATATCACCCACTCCCCCCCGCTTTCTTCTCGTTTCAGTCACCATCGTCACAAAAAGCGTCGTCGTCATAAAAAACCAAAAATTCTTGTGCAGGATTTGGAAACGCACGTAGTCAAGGTACACGACATTTTGCCATTAAATTTCGAAATAAAAATTTTAACAAACAAAAAAATTGTCTCTTTTGCTTTTCTTTTCTCCGTCTTCACTGGGAAAAGGTGGTCGATCCCGATGACCTGTCGCAGCGGGCACGTTGCACAATCATTGTGACGGCGTGTCTGCTGCTTATCATGTGCCTCATGTTGGTGGGCGTAACGCTGCGCATGGCGCCACTCATTGACGAAATGGGTAAGTGCGAAGTTTTAGTAGAAATTCTTTATTAAATAAAGAAATTTCCATTTTTTAACGTCGTTATATTAATTATTAATTACCACTTTATATATATATATGTATATTTATATGTGTATATGAACGTCTTGAGCGCTCTTCTCTTCTACTGCTACCCCTGTGTTGGCTTTGTTTTTCTACTTTTTACTCATCTTTGAATTATATTATATTTATATGATAAGAAAAGTATAAGAGAAATCAATCTTACGCATTCGAGCCAAGTACATAGCGAGTACTTGTGGTTAAACAGAAAACTTTAACTGAACACCAATAGCAAATATTCTGGTGTAAAACACATATTCTACTCTATATATTATATATAAACGTAGTGCACATACCCTGTTCTTGGCTGCCGTCATACCGAAATCCCAAATTGGCTCAATACATCAAAAAGTCAAATAACTATGAAAAACCAAAATTAAATAAAAATAAAAAAAATTAAAATAAACCAATTAAAATGAAAAAAGGAAAGCAAAAAAGTATAAAATAGAATAACATAAAATAAAAAAATAAAATAAAATAAAACAAAATAAAAAAAAAAAAATAAAATAAAATAAAATAAAATAAAATAAAATAAAATAAAATAAAATAAAATAAATTAAAATAAAATAAAATAAAATAAAATAAAATAAAATAAAATAAAAAAAAATAAAATAAAATAAAATAAAATTAAATTAAATGATACGAAAAATAAAAATCCACAATAAAATAATAATAAAAAATATAAAATATAAAATAGAATGTCTTGTTGTCAAAAATAAAAATAAACAAAAAAATAACGATAAAATAAAAATAATATAAATTAAAATATATAAAAGCCAAATAATAAATATATTAAAAAAATTATATAGAGAGATTAAATACAATACAAAAAATAAGATAAAATACAATAATTTGAAATAAAAACAATTAACTAGATATAAAGAAACTTAAATAAAAAAATTAAATATCACTAACTAAAATAAAGATTTAAAAATAAAATAAAAAGCTGTAAAAAGTGAAAAAAAATTAAAAAAAACTACATAATAAATATGATGAAACAAAATATAATAAAATATAAAAAAAAAATAAAATAAATTAAAAAAATATAATGTAAATAAAATCAATTAGAACTTTATAAAAACAAAATTAAATAGAAACTTAACTAATATTTATTTGAATAAAATTTAGCAAAATAAAATAAAGTAAATAGTAAAAAAGATAAAATAAAGTAAAATAAGTAAAATAGTAATATATTACAATGTAAAAATAAATAAAAAAAAATTTAATTAAATGACAAAATAAAACTAATTAAAAATATTAACAAATAACAAAATTATATAAGGTAAATTTAATATCAAATATGAAGAAGCTGAAATTAATTAAAAAAATAGCATAAACTAATATATAATAACTTACAATAAAATAAAATAAAAATTAAACTATATCAAATTAACTAAATGAATTAAATTAAACTAAGATTAGTTAAATATATTAAATAAAATAAGAGAAAATATAATGAATTAAAATAGAACCAAAAATATAATAAGACTAATCAGTATAAAATAAAAGCAAAAAAAAATAAAGTTTGTAAGAATATTAATTAAAATAAGTAAAACAGTGGTATAAAAAAAATAAAATAAAAATAAATAGTTAAACAAAATTATATAAAATATTATAAAATATATGGAGACAAAATAAAAGAAAAAAATAAAACATAACAGAATAAATATAAAATAAATTCAAATATTTAAGAATACGAAATAGAATAAAATGGAATTATATAAAAAAAAAAAATAAGCAAAAAAAACTGAAAGTAAACAAAAAAATTAATTAATATAAGCAAAAAAAATTGTATGACATAAAATAAAAGAAAATAAAGAATTAAATATTTTAACACTAAATAAAAGGATATAAAATAAAATATTAAAAAATTGAATAAAACGGAATAAAAATTAAATAACATTAAAGAGTAAGTAATTTTAACTTACAAACAAAAATTAAATAAATGAAGTAAAAAAAATATAGTCAAATATGTGAAAAAATAATATAATATAAAATAAAATTAAATAATATTAATAAAGAAGGATAAAATAAATTAAATTATATGAAATGAGCAAAATCATTTAGATATATTAAATTAAAAAATAACAACGCTAAAGTTAAACAAAAGATAATAAGAATTGAAAAAATAAAATAAATGCAGGAAACAAAATTATATAAAGCAAAGTGATTATAAATATAAAGTAGCTGCAATTAAGTTTAAAAAATAGCATAAAATAATAAAACTTAAATTTATTAAATTAAATTTATTAAATTAAAGCTAAATTAAATATTTTGAATAAAAAAATGAAAATATAACAATTTAAAATAAAATGAAAAATTTTTAAAATTAAACAAAAATAAAATTAAAATTAACTACAAGAAAAGAAAATAAAATTAAAATAATATAAGCTAATCTTAAGTCTGTAGAATGTAAACTTTCTTTACATGATCACTTGGGTTTGACTCGAGAATTCTAAAATTAAAAAATTTTAAGTGATTAATATGTTCCTAATAAATAATATTTTTTAGACGTTATGTTTCGTTACGTTGCCTTACATTACGTTGTTTTGTTGTTGCATTGTAAAAAGTATTAAATTTACATGTGTCCTTGTTTTTTCCTCGTGTGTATGTGGAGTGATTTTGAAATTTCTCATCTTTTATTCCCTTAAGCTGATTTTATGTAGACAAATTAAACTTTTTCATAAAAACATTCACATTTCAAAATCTAACTGTTATTCTCAAATACTCAACACTACCCCTAGCATATTTTAAGCAATAATCATTTTCAAAATTAAAAGAAAAAAGAACAATTAAAAAAAATAAATGAATTATGCTAAGAAACCATGAATTGCACTCTCCTACTTTCTGCTCATCCGTCACTCTCTTTCACCCTCCACGCCTACTTAGCTTAACTAACTAGTTAAAATTAGACTTACAAAAACAAAAAAAAAAACACTCAAAAATCCTATCAATGTGACTTTAAGAATCTAATTTCATGTTTGTTGTTTTGATTTGTTTTGTGTATATTCTCGAACTTAGACCTACGAACAATAAAATACAAACTACAAAACCAAATTAGACATGCAAAGTAACTGTAAGTACACAAAAAATTTAGTAACTAAGCTTTTAAAAATATATACTTTACTACTTAAATACAGCTGCATACATATTTTAAAAAAAAAAAAAAATACTAAAAAAAAAATACTAAAAAAATAACTTTGAAAAATTTTATTTATTTATTATTTGATAAAATATTTATAATTAAGCTGGGGTATGTACACTGTAAAATATAGTTGCTATGAGCTTTGTAAAAAAGCTTTGGCATGAAATAAATGCTTATAATATGCAAGGAAAGCTTATTCAGCTTAACTCCAGTACTGTTATGCTAAACAAACAAACCGAAACAGACAGCGAAAGCGAAAAAATGGTTGTTGTAACAAAAGCTTCAAACTTTCGTTTAGCATTCTGCAATCTCTCTTTAAAAGCTGCGAGGCATTTAAATGCTTTTCATGTATGTGAATTGATTTTAGATATAAGCTTAATTAAGCTTTCAAGCTTAATAGTTATGGTAAGAAGCTTGCAAATTTTTTTATCGTCATACATTCCTGTGTAAAAAGTTTATCTTACTGCTATAACTGATGCAAAAGAAAACAATATTTTCGTTAAGAAATTGGTAAGCTTTTGTGTGTGGAAGAGTAAAAGCTTTAACTGTTGTTACATACGTTCTTATATTTCAAAAAGATAAGATAATTTTATTCTTTTTAGTGTTTTTAGATTTTGTTATTCAAAATGAGAATTAAAAAAATATATATATATATATTCATTTCAAAGTTCATACCAAATGCCGCATGCGGCATGTGCATGTGAGCTTCCTTGCAATTTGTGCGCGTGTAGAAAAAAACTTTTTAGCACAAAAGTATATAGTTTTTGAAGTTAAACTAAAGCTGAAACCAAAAACAATAACCAACAATGCTTTGAAGCTTTCGAACTTTTTAAGCTTTTTCCGAAAAACACAACCTTACATTTATTCAGTGACTTTCCAATTCATATCCAAAAAAAATCTCACTTTCTCTCAGAAATCGCACTAAAAGCTCAGCCGCATAATTGAGTGCAGCTTTTTCGTGCTACTCACTGCGCTTACTTCACTCACTCAATTGCTTTTGTGTTATGCGCATTACATTCTTTATTGAGTCACTTCCGCCGCTGAAAACTAGGACAACAAGTCACATGTTGCGCGCCTATGTTTATGCCACAGTTTTTGTTATTGTTTTACAATCAATTTAATTTTTTTCTTATCTCGATTATGTTGCACTTCACACATTACGAGCATTCACAGTTCATGCAAAAGAGTACAGTTCATTTGCTGAGCATATCTGCGAGTATGTCTATGCGACATTGTCATTGTTGTTGTGAGACGTCACTTGCGTCAATTTGGCGCGTCAATTAGGCGCATTTGTGGTGAAAGGAAAAACAGGTGTTGTTTGGGTGAATCGTAGTAGCATACACACGCACAAACATATACATATATATATATTAACATAAATATGTATGTTCGGCGCTTGTATTTGAACTACAATCAAAGTTTATTTGCGGTTTGCCTTTCAAACGGTATTGTTTTCGAATTGTAACTCTTTTGTTTGTTTGCAGGGCGAGCCCCGCCCTTCGCTAGCCACTTTTGTGGGCGACGCATTGCGGTCGCCGTCCTCTACACGCGGCTCATTTAAAATGTCAATTAATTAGTATATAATTAATGTATACTTGCACTGACCAACTATGCTTATTAAATGCAATGAAGCGCATTTTATGATACAAATGCACATACACACCATACACAGCAACATGAGAACGTTGCGGAAAAAAGAAAAAATTATGGAAATTATTTAAATGCGTCCAATGAGTTTTTTGTTGCCAATGAATTTGTGTGATTAAATGGTAATCTTTTGTTCAACTATTTATCACTTATTTAACTCGAGCGATGGCACGCACGCACGCGCGAGTACATACATTCTTTTTTATCAGTATCAATTACAAAATTAATTTATACGTCAAATTAGTTTATTCTCAACTTCAAAAAAAAGGTATTTTTTACCGAAAGGATATGAAATTTATAATGAAATTATAGCACAAAATGATCTGCAACTGCATCAAGGGTAGTAAAACTTTTTCATTTTATTTTTAATATTTTTGGACCGTTATCCGAACTAGCTCAAACTCAAAAACGCCAAAGAAACTCCGAAACATACATATCTCTTATGATTTTTGGCCGAGCTTCTCCTCTACTTTGTGGTTTTGTCCCTTGATATTTTTTCCAACAAATGGAGGCACCTACAGTTTGTGCTAAGCCGCTTCCGAACGGCGGATGGTTTTTTATGAG